TCACATGATTGGTCCAGAGTTTCCCTGCTCGAGTCACCAGTCTTCTCCTCAACATCTGAATCCAACAGAGACTGAAGAAGAAAAAGGAACATTTTCAAAATGCAAACATCAAATCGAGTTTAATGTGACACATGCACCCTCACAGCTTAAGGTTTCACTGTCTGACAGGGGGGCAATGTGTAACAGTGTAATGGTTATATAATGGCAAGGTGGCAGGTGTAACAGAGCCTATATTAATGCTACATGTAACTGGATTCACAGTTTCAATGACGGAGAGGAAAAAAAGTAATGGCAACTAGAGTAAGAGTATGAAGCAGCCTCTTTATACCAGTTTCTGAATGTTAGTCATCACTTCTGTCTATTTGCTTGAAGTGAATGCTCCTGAATACCTGCTGCTTTTACCCATCTGCTCACCCCAACTTCTTGCAGAAATGTTACTAGTAGGCAGGCTGGCAAACAATCTGGATACAGTCTAGGTGATCGTTTGTGTTCACCCGACCAGAAAACGAGGGGAAATTTGATGTTCACAAGTTAAAGTTAATTTCTTAAATGATTTAGGCCCTGTGTCTAGCAAAGCGTTTTTTCCCCCCCGAGCTGACATGGACAATTTCAGTACGACTTATACAAGTAGGATGTGACAGTGTAAGTATTTAGTACAGCGTTTCCATTGACTCAAGAAAAAAAGAACATGCCTTTGGACACAAAGCCTAATATTGATAGTCGATTATTCATCACAAAAAAAAAACACCCTGAATGTCACTTAAAGACCTTTGTCCATTTACCAAAATGCATTTATTGTGCTCGATAATTATAAGAAGAAAAAAAAAAAAAAGACTATGAATACCTGCTCCTGAGTGTCCTCAGCAGAGGCTCCCCTGGTAGAAGGCTGACATGGACTCAGGATGTGGATCATCTCCTTCTTCATCTGCTGAAGAACCTTCTTGAGCTCAGCGTTCTCCATCATCAAGGACTTCTGAGTGGCCTCGTAGTCGTTGAGTAAGGACTTGTACATTTCACCTTCGTGGCTGCAGAGCGACATTTACAGATCAGCCAGATGATTGCACAGGCTACAAATAACTTCAACAAGGCACAAGAAGGCGTACCTGGCTGTGGCTTTTGCGTTCTTCCAGTGGCTCCTTTTTCCATCCGACCGTCCCAAGCTATTCAGTACATCAATAGCTAGTGAGGAGAAACAAGAGGCCAGAATTTAATGAACTTATTCAGCAATTACCAGTGTAACAGAGAAACAAATATTCCTTCTATGAAGACTGACGACCTGCATGCATACCTAGTTTCTTGTCCTTTCTGTCGACCAGGAGCTGGCCGAGGCGTTCCTTGAGCTTGGCAGCTTCTCGTTCTTTCCGTTTGGCATCGTGACTGTACTGCGAGGCCCGACTGGCTATGATACTCTGGAGCTTCTGAACCTGGACCAGAAGGGTTGAATTATTTGTCGGGAGGATTGGTGCATACTGAACGTAGATGCAAATTTGACTAAAAACAAAACATTGGATTACTCATTTGAGAACAAGGTAATATCAGACCTCGTCTTTTTCTGTTTTCAAGCAGCTCTGTAAAGTCTTCATTTTGAGCTGTAGCTGCCTCTCTGTCTCATGTAGACCCGATTTCTCCCTAATAGACAGTTCCAATTGATCCTAGAGGGGGAGGGAAAATGAAACGTATTAAAACTGTGACACGGTAATGTTTTACACAAGCCATAGGTCCAGGGTTAAAGCTTCAAGGTAGGATTCCTGAGCAAATTCTTTTGTGCTTTTTGTAGGTTTAAAAAAAAAAAAAAGGCAGACAAGGAATACACTAACATTTTCAGAGTATGTTATTCAAGTGTTTTTAGTTTTTGTTAAGAGGTTGAAAAGTTTGTGAACAATGGTACATCCTAAATCAATCCATATGACAGAGCAAGTCTAGATTGCAGAGAAATGTTCAGCCTTGCAATCACAAGCAACTGTTGAGATAAGAGGACATTTACAGACGGAACTTTGGACTGTAGATCTTTTATGGTTTGACCTTGTTTTTGTGTCTTCGGTAGTCATATTCATTTATTATTGGAAGGAAATGTACTGTTTTAGAGTATGCTTCCTTTCTGCCCTCTAGCGGTCAGCAGACTATTACTGCACCTTCCAGATACAAACACATTATAATCCGAGGATATACAGTGCGTCACACGTGCCTTGAGTCTGGAATTGTTCATCTGCATGTGTTCCAGGGAATTTGATTTCTTCAGCTGTTCGTTCTCGAGCTCCTCTAAAGAGCACATGTTGCGTTTGTGAATCTGGAGCAGCTCATACATGGCATTCAGGGCTGACACTGTGTTCAGGGCGGCTCCCCCTGGTGAGCTGGCCTCAATACATGCCGAGGAGAGGCCCAGTGAGGCGAGCTCCTGTGAAAGAAAGAGGATATTGGATAGTATATTAGTGAATGATTGCTACAGACAATAAATCAATAAATAAAAGATGCTAATAAACCATCAGAATAATGAACATTTAAAGGGGCACATTTGCAAACATTAAGCTTCACATATTTAGCATTGTAATATCATTAACATCAGCTTACCCAGGATATTTCCATACCTGATTGATGTATGAAATGCAGTGAGGAATGTTATCCTCGGTACAAAAGGCACTTATCACATTGTAGGAGCTTCTCAACAGAGAAGGCAAAGAGGAGTACATTGACACGAGATTGTTCTGCCTCGAGGGAGACATTGTCACATGTGATATGCTGGAGATCTCATAGTTTCCTGAAGAAAAAGAAACACAAAGAGGAAAGTCATGGCAACTATGATTGTTCATTGCAAATACTTTCTCATGTGGAGCAGCTTGAAATAGGCTACTGCTCTAAAATGAGAACAAAAAAAAAAAAAATGGGTCAGCTCTAACAGATTCCAAAAAAAGAATAGCTTCATGAGTCTTTAAAATTAGAAATTTACCCATAGATGTTCCTAATGGCACTGTTGTCCACCACTCTCCCATATCACCAACACATCAGGGCAGGATGATGAGAGGTCATGAGCTATCCACAGGGGGGGGGGGTTTAGATTAGCAGTCAGGCAGGGAATCCAAAACTCCCACTGGTACAGAGCCCTGCAATCGAGCATCAAGCGATGAGCAAAACCAGCAAGATATAATCTGGGTCTGCTGATTCTGCTGCTGCTGCTGCTGCTTCACCCACACGGGATTAACTGTAAAATGTATGCCAGTGGGACTGGGATTGGGGCTTTAAAAAAAAAAGGGCTCTCCTATTGGCCAAATCGCAGAGCAGTAAGATGATCTCAGCCCCAAGCCAAAAGCTTTATCCAGATACATTTAGAGAAAACTCCTACAGAGAGGCTAAATCTGAGAGTGTATTTTAGACTTTGTGCCCTCGGGACAACATTATGATCCAACATGTGTTTGACTGTGGGGAAACAAGCTGAACCAGATATATTTATGTGCCACTCCCCCCCCTCCACTACTTCACAACGTAGAAATGTCCCAACTTGTGTGCAAGAGCTCGTCAAGCACAAAGTGTTGAAGGACAAACATGGCATTTATGTTTTCTAATGAAATAGCACAAGCTTGAGAGCACTCGGGTGGAGAGAGCACATAACTACAAAACCAGTCAACATGAAGTACTGGTCCCAGTAAACTCTCCATTAAGCTCTTATCTAGCAAACCAGAAAACATACACAACTTTTATCGCAAGTTACATATTGACCAAGGCTGACACGAAGCTATTTATTCTTCGGTTTCATTCTGTAGACTTACTATGACGCGTGTAAGGCAGTGTTGTCTTCATGCATATACAGAAATGTTTATTTAGCGTCACATAAATAATCTGCTAAGTAACATTCATAACAAGTTTGAAATAATCGAACAACTTTAGAGTCAAGTAGTTGATTAATAAACTTCACAACTTCACTTACGACACTCAAACAAATTCCACAAACTAAGTCAGACGCGTTTGTTTGAGGAATAAACGCCGAATTTAAATATTTAAACCTTCATTTCACTACGTTACTAAGGCGAAGTTTGGGGACCTTATTTAGCACTGGTTGCTAACCTGTGTGCTAAGTAAAACATACTCACGGGGAGCAACTCAATCCTGTAGTTGTCAAGTTCGGTCGGTTGTTGTTGTCGGTCAATATGAAGCCACGAAGTTGTCAGTAAAACATCAGCAGCTCTAGTCTCGCGCTCAGTTGTCACCTTGTCGGCAGCTCAAAAGAAACAGTGAAATCCTCACCCAGCTTTGAAGTGCAGCAAAGATGTCTCGACAGTCAGCAGGTAGGCTGGCTCAGGCTGCTGCTGGTGGTGCTGCTGCAGCTGATTGTGTTTTTTTTGAAGCCTTTTCCTCCATCGGCTTAAAACTAAACGTCTTTTTTATTGGAGGCCGCGTTGTTAGGTAACCAGCACGCGAGTCGCACATTGGATGAAAACATGTGCAAGTGGGCGATTATGCAAAAATCCTGTCAGGTGTCAGAAACAGCACCGCAATGGACTCCTGTGGCAGCGAGAGGTATAAGGGTTACCTCTCACCTCGGTATTTCCCATATCATATGTTATATATACACTCAAAATCTCGCCCACATTTACGGTATTTGGATTATGAATGCCATACTTCTCACTGGTCGCCCACAATATGTTAAAAATAAGTGTCGCCTTTGGAAATACTTTCAAGAAACTGGAGGATCAATGCATAAAAAATATAGCTTATTTGTAGGACCTATGTTGATCTATTGTCTTAGCATATAAGAATAAGTATATAATAAAGATGGATTAATATATAAATATCCACAGTACCAGAGTTGAAACAACAACAACAATAACAACAACAACAACAACAAAAAACACATTACAATGTAACCAAGAATGACGTCCGGGTAAGTAAGAATTTTAAATGAACAAAGTTTGATTTTTAAGTTTACAATGACCCAAGAGCTTGTGAAAAGAAACACACCTGCTCACAGTTTTTTTATTTTTGCTGCAAGGAGAGACATTAATAATCAAGTTGCCGGCTAATTGAAAACATCACTGAATTTAGGAGTATTTTGAAATTATTTAAAAAAACAGGTAATAACAATTCAAACACTTAAAACATTTAAACTGACTTGTCCACTGAGTGGTCTTTAAATGAGGAGGTTTTGCATTTAACTTCCGGAAGTCTAGTAAAAATAAAAAGTTTAAAGGATTTCTACTAAATTCAAACATTCTCTTCACACATTATCATTAATCATAATATCCTTAGTGCAGACACAGTTGGGGCTCTTCCCAGTCTTTCACACTTGATATGCCAGTCTTGTGGAGAAAGTCACATTTTCCAACTTCATCAAAATCAGCAGCATGGGGAGAGGCAGCAGGAAGCTGGCTCTTCATCAGTCTGGTATCTTCCAGACTCAGGCTGGTCCCTACACTCTGCTATGAAGGCCTGAAGCTGGGACACCGGCACTTTGTCCTGCTGGTGATGCTGGAAAACAACAATTGTTCAGTAGAATGGATATTAAGTGACATGTTAAACAAATACTTTTACCTGAAGAACATCTCTCTACAGCAAGATGATTTCTCAGTGTGTCATTTCAGATGACTGGGACTAACCTTGATGGTCTCGTAAGTGTCTGTAATGAGGGCGATGAAGAGGCTGAGCACCATGTAGATGAAGAGGGAGATGAAGGAGTAGAGGTAAAGTCTGCTGAAAAGCCACACCATGTAGCTCTTATCTCTCATGTTTAGGAAGGTGGCGTACATATCGTCCCCGTTGATGAGAGAGAAGAGGCACTCTGATACCTTATCAAGTGTTCGGAACTGGAAATAAATGTTTCTTATTATGAATTTCGTAATATTTCAATGTTACCAAAATGATATGTCTTGGTTTGTGGAGATTCATTATACATTTTAAGGCTGGCACTTGAAGTAGATTAGAACTTCAGATTTCATACCTTGTCATGGTAAGGCCCAAGGACGATCCAACCACAGAAACAGTACCCGAGGTAGATCATGGCTGCACAACAGCAGAATCGAATCACATTTGGGAATGCTTTCCTGAGGGTCAAGATCAATATCTATAGACAGGGAAGAAAGTTTTTTCAGTTCCTGTGGTTGTGCATTATTGAAAACAGGCTGGCTGGAAACAAAGAAAGCCGTGTCATTTAAATTCTTACGTTATATTTCTTAAAGAATCCGAGGTAACGTATCACACCGACCCAGACGAACATCGTGGCTGTTCCAAGCAAGATACTGCAGACATCATAGTTTGTCAGGTACTGCAAATGGGAAAGAAATTACAAATAGATACATGGAATACGTTTTTTTTTTTTGTATATCATGCTCTGAAGACAAGGTCCTATCTGTTTACAATTAAAGCAAATGAAGCTCTACACTTAACAAACCTTTGTTTGTATTCCAATTTTGAGCGCAGAGCCGGCAATGGTCAGTGTGTCACTCACAATGATAAGGATGTACCAGCCATTCACAAACTCCATGCGGTCAGACCAACTGACCTTTTTGTTGAAGTAGGCGTGAAAGAATATGTTGAACTCCTGCATGAGAGACACTCAGATATTGTAAAAAGGATTTATTACAAATGATTGCAGAGGGATCGCTCAATTTTCACAAGTAGCTATTACATCAGTTCTCTCATCATTAAAATTATGAGAAGTGTAAGTATGAAATACAGATAACAATTAATTAAGTATTTTAAGCTACTAAGTTAAAAATATATATTTTTTAATTTTTTGTAACATAGATGTTGTTATAATGGTTTTCTATCTTGATTTTCAAGCCATTTTTATATGAATACAATGAAAAGATGTAACTTATAACAGGCTAATACTAGCCCTAAAGTGCTATACGAGTCTAAAATATAATATTAGTCTTGTCGAAACTGTTTCAAATGTGTTAAAACAACAACCTAGGACCAGACCCCATGTGTCTTGTGCGTCTGTTTGTTCTTTATTTGAATATTTCCCACTGACTGAATGACCTCACATAACAGCTTAACCATGAAAGACAGATCATATTCAATAAATTCATCGGTGCTGACACTAGTACGCGTTAAACTAAAAGCATTAATGTTTACAGTATATGCGTCAAACTTCATTCTTGTATACATACAAACTGCAGCTGGATGCCGTTGATGACAGAGCGCATGCAGAGGATGAGAGAGGTGAAACAGGCGAGGATGACCACAGAATCAAAGGACAGGAGAAGGTAATCATTCTTATCAGCTGCAAACCAGAGACACACACTCCAGGTAAGTTGTTAGAATAACAGTTGTATTACTTTACACAGAGGTGCTGCTCGACAACAGGCAAGGCAGGCAACTGGGGCCCCAGGCCAGTAGGGGGCCCCAGTAGGCGACATAATGGTGGATGGAGGGACTCCCAGTTTATTTTACCTAGGGCCCCAACAGACCTTTGAATCGCCACTGCTTTTACACATTCAATGCATACATTCAATGTCTTTCTCTCAGCTCATACAGGTGGAACAAAAATGTCAGCGTGCCCCCTGCTGGCCCTTGAAGCGATAACCACTATGAGTAGTTTTTATTTGTTCAGGTCATAATGTGTCATCGGTCAGGATTAATGTGAGTTTTGGTTCAAACTTACAAGTCCCTTCCACATTCCAGTTTCTGCATTCATAAATTCTGACATCATTTTTAACATCCACCTTTATCTTTCCGCTGTGGGCTCGGTTATCAAACATGATCTGTATGAAAAGAAAGAATTGAGAAAAACAAAACATTAATTGTTAGTGAGCATTCAGCTGTTGTACAGACTGGGGCTTTTTGCAGATGTTGTCACTAACCACAATATGGAAGTCGTAGCAGTCTGGTAGCTCATGGTGGCGCACAGTCTGCAGGTTGATGGTTTTCAGAGTGAGGTACATGCTCACTGATAGCAGACTGGAAACACACAAGCATGCATTAGCAGGTAGCCCACTTATTGCCTGGTATGAAACCAGTCTTTTCAGTTTAGTCACCTTTTGAAATCTAACGAGAAGTTCACGTGTGATGCCAAACTAGTGTTGTCAAGCAACTGCCGGGGGAAAATGGAAAAACAATCTGTAAGGAGGAAATACAGACAATAAGTTCAAAGGCAGTTAGATCAGTTAGTCATTCGATATATAGCTCATTCCTCTGGCTACAATAACGCAAGCTTCCTCTTTTCATGCTGTCACATGCAAACCCACATTGGTAATGTTTTCCATTCATGCCATGAATCAGCTTCCACAAATACAGCCTGCACAAACTGGCTCTTTTAAAGAATATATTAAAATAATCAGGGCTCATGTCGAGAAATGTTTGGCTTTTTACCTTTATCAATACGTGGGTCAATGTGAAAGGTCTCATTGCCAGGATCAATGCTGCTGTTTCTGTAAAACTCTTGACACACAGACAGAGGAGTGTACTTTCCATCCGCCCTCTCATATGCAAGGTTACCTACTGTCAGGTTTGGGAGATTCAAGTACTGGGGAAAATAAAAATCATAGAGTTAAACACCTTTTCCATGCTGTAAATGGATTTTTTTTTTTTTTTTTTTGATGAAATCCCCATGAGACTAAGATTTGAAGTACCCTGTTGATAATGTAGTACATGTGATCATACACATCTGCTTTGGTGTACAGTGCGTAGCTTCCTAGGCGGTGATCCTTGTATCCTTTCAGGAACAGGTGTCTGAATGTCATCAGGTTTTCTTCTTTAAAGGTGACCATCATTTCATTGCTCAGGCCAAAAGAGACTAACTATAGTAGAGAGGGAGTTAAAAAACAGACATCTATACACACTCTGTTATAAAATAGAAACCAGAGACTTGTGTACACTACCTGCACTGTGATGATTACAATTTTTAATATCTGTAACATCAGTTTCCATGGCTTGCGACCCCTGGCTCTGTATTTCTCACAGGGGTTCATGAAGAAGTACTTGAGCCTCCGTCTGAAGTCCTCCACCATCTTGGACTCCTTGGTGTGTGTGCTCCATCGACAGTGACCGTTTCGCCTCCTCTCCTCTGGCCTCGCAGCCAGCAGAGGCTCAGAGTCCTCCATTATACAGAATTCTACTGTTTTTGAAAACAGTTTTTTTCCACCAGTTATTTCTTTATGTTGTTAGAGATTGAATGTATGTCAGAAATGTGTTGAAGTAAGGTAGAGTTCAACCATTCCAGTTATTCTGATGTTTATCTAACTGGTTCTCCTGCATGTGCTCACAGCCATCGTTCTCTCAACTTTTTTTAAATGTATTATAAGAGCTACAAAGCCCCTTAAAAGACATCAATAAAGTGTTTGCAGCATCATTTAGCCACTGTTAGCTCACTGAGAAGTTAATGTAGCAGACTTGCATGCAGCAGTGACAATATAACTGGCAAGAAATGCTTGTAGCAAATTACTGACATTATGTGTTACCTTTAAATCTTTGCAGGAAAATGGCTACAGAAAAGAATGACAGTTTGATACAATTCAATATCTAAATGTTTAGGTTGGTTTTGGTTCAAGCAAAAATATGACAGACAAAATCAACACACTGTACATAATATTTCAACAAAGATTACAATAATATATAAATTACCTGTTGTGTACCAGTCAGCCACAGAGTGACGCGTCTGACACCCAGAACTCCTCCTGTGTATGAAGAGCAGGCAGTGCAGTCATCAGGCCAGCCTTCACCACGATGACTGTCACTCCTCTGCGTCACTTTCAGCTTTTCCAGTTTTTCCACAACACATATCAGACCTCCCAAGTGACAGAGGCGGCACATACAGAAAACCTGAACCCAGTTTTATATTATTAACATCAAACCTGCCATATAAATTGGACTTTATGAATCAATATTGTATATTTAGGAACTATTTCTGGAATTATTGCAAAATTTCAAACAATGTCAAACAAAATAAAACTACACCGTCCTGTGTCTAAACAACCACACAGGTACCAACAAACACAGAAAACACCATTTTAAGTTCATAATAAACCTTTAGTATGCAATAGACAATCGTACACGACAAGCTGATGCAGTGATAAGTAGAACAGGGTTTTTATGCCGCTCTGCAGTAGGTTTCATGTCTCATTCATGACTGCTGTAGTGATAAAAACATCAAAGCAACTTCTTGTTGGTTTAAAGCTGCAGAGGAATGAAGCAGAAATCATCACTTAGAGCTACGTACATGACTCAGGCACACAGAGGCAGCATCTTAAACACATAAAAAGGCATAAGTAGACATTCCAGTGTAGAAGACTTTATCACAGCACCTGTAACAGTAGCTGCCATGTTTTCCTGACACAGGTCATCAAGAAATCACACCAACTAGAAAAGAATAAGAGTAGATAAGTCAAATCTGTGTACTGTTGATATCAAACCTTGAATACTTGAGACACAAACTTATATGCTTGTACTGCCATGGAATGCATGCCAGATTATGAATTCTTCTTCATATATGAGACTGTTTCTTTTTCAATTTAAACTTAAAAAAAAAGCTCTTGTGAAGCTCATGAACATCTGCTTTTTCATAATTCAATATTTCACATTTGAGAATTGTGGCTTCTTTTGTTCAATAGAAAAATAAAGGTTGATAGAAAATTATAATTGTTGAGATTGACATACATTTGTAAAGCTAATTAAGGTTTTATTTTGACTTCAATTGTAATCTGAGGCTACACATTGGCATCTGACTTTAATAAAATATGTGTCAAACAGCTGATTCTAAGATAGCATCAAATGCTCATTTTCATTCGGGACAAATTGTTTATTTATTTATGGAGAATAGTCTGGTCTATAGGACAGAAAAAATGTACTCTCTCTAACCAACCCCCAAAGTCTCTTAACTTACTACCATAAATGACAAAGAAAAGCAGAAAATCTTCACATGTAAGATACTGGAAAAAGCTATTGTTTGTTTTTTTGTGCTAAAAAATGAGTGAAACAATATATCGTTACAAAGTTAGTTTGCTAATTTAAAATCTATTTTTCTTTTTTTATCAAATAATCAATCAATGGTTTCAACTCCAAGAGTAACAGAACATTACATGTGCAGCAAACTTTTTGCCAACTTAAAGGCACCAAACACAGTAAATAATAGAGCTAATGGTATAGGCTTTAGTTGAGTGGATGGTGCTTGTTTGACTCCGTAACTGGATGTGAACTGTCTCATTGAGATGTGGAATTAAAAGATGCTTGTATGTGACGTTGGAGTGAGCGAGCGTGATCGGAGGGGCTGGAAGTTTGGGTCCCCTCCTGTGCTGGTGCATCCTGGCGCTCCTGCGTCGATGTTGGAGGGGGATTCAACCATAACGTCATCGGGCAGCGGGGGAGCTCCTGGGTCTCCGGGTCTGGGGAGGCTGGAAGAAGTGGAAGAAGCGGAGACAGCAATGGCGACGCTAGCGCAAGATCCGGGAGACAAGTCGCAGCTTCTCTGTAATGATGGCAGGTTGAGTGAGGCTGCCACGCCCGAAGTGGAACAGCTCTGTTCTCCGTCTGGGTGGAAGAGCATGGTGGAGTTGTTTGAAAACGACATGAGGAGGTCACTGGTTTTGCTCGGGCTGCTGAGGCCGCTGTCAGATGAGGAACTGATAGCTCCTGCTGTGGAGTGAAAGGAACGTTGAATTAAAGCATCAGGAGCACATCATAGATTTGAAATAAACAACAGGTTTCACAAACACTCTGCATACTAACCTTTGAGAGACTCAATCTTCTCATTTTTGGCCTTTTGCACCTCATCTGTGATTTTGGCAATGATGAAGTTTTGTGAACGCATCTCCCTTATGGAGTCAGTCAAGGCGTCCAAGCCTCGAGGGTTTTCTGCCAGTATGTCCAACATCATGGCCGTCCTCTTCGTCTGAGTTGTCCTGCAGCTAATTTCCTCTGCATCATCTCGTGTGAGAATCCTGCGGGCGCGCAGGTAGTCGAGGTGGCGTTCGGCTCTGATCTTGTCGCAGAGGTAGTGCCGCAGCCTGGTCAGCACCTTTAAACCCACAGCAGCCGCACAGGACAGGAAAAAAGAGAACAACTGGAGGTGTCAAGGCCCTGAACATGAGGGGACTCATTAACAGTTTCAACTATATGTCTTATTTTTTCCTCTTTGCTGTGATATTCTGTAGGTGGCACTGTTGCCATTTGTCTCAATCCTTGTCATACATTCTGTCTCTCACTCTATCCCTCTTTCTCAGCCCATGTGGTCATGGCAGATGGCTGTTGACCAATGAGCCGGTTCTGCTTGAGGTTTCTGGCTGTTAAGAGGAAGCTTTCCTTGCCACTGTAGCCAACTGCTTGCTCATTGGTTGATCAATAAGATTTACTTTTATTGATTTCAGTTTTTACACTCTGTCATGCACTAATGGAGAGAAGCCAGAGTGACAGTGGGCGCTCCTGAGCTGGTGGTGGGGAGGGGATTCGGTGCCTTGCTCAAGGGCAACTCAGCAGTGCTCAGGAGGTGATCTGGCACTTCTCCAGCTACCAGACCAACTTCCATATTTGGTCTGCACCAGGACTTGAACCAGCGACACTCCAATTCCCAACCCAAGTCCCAACAGACTGAGCTACTAATGGGTATTATTACAGAGCACAGCCTGGAGCTGCCCTATGGGTCAGTATAAATGGTCATGGTGTAACTTTTGTTGTAATTTGGTTCCATTAATAAAAACATGATAGCCTGATTAATATCGGGGATGGGAAGGCTAAACATGACCCATAAACTAATAACAAATGATACAAAATCTGAAGCTGGTGGTCTGAAATCACTTGAAACCCTGGACTGGTTCAGATCTCCAGATTTCTGTTTTACTTCTTAGTATTGCTGTTGATAATAAAGGATGACCCTACCCCTTTATACACTATAAAACGTGCAAGCCTGCGTGTTCAAAATGATGTCGTAATGTAATATAATGTAATGTAATGTAATATAATGAAATGAAATGAAATGAAATGGTGTTCAGTCATGCAGAGAGTGCTGATGTGGGAACAGAAGATGGGGTCGGGTATTTCCTACTTGAACAGGCCTTTATTGTCAAACAAACGCAACCTACAAAACATGTTTTAATAGAGAAAAGAAGAGCAGAGCTTTAAGTCTGTCTATGTTTTATTAAAGTCCTACACCTTACCTGGTCAAATAAGGTGTAACTATAGGCCTACGTTGGCAAGTTTACACTGAATGTTTATACTCACGTCTTTTTTTATCTCTGCCATTTCTTCCTCAGTGAGATGAGGAACATCCATCCCTCTCACCCAAAAAGTGAATAATCCAGGTGTTCCGGGTAACAAATGACGGATAAAATAGGTTCTAAGACAGTAATCATAAAACGAAAGACATCAATAACTTAGTTGAACGCGTCAGTCGGTGAAGATAATCGGAATATGTCGTATACCGTCGTTAAAAAGTCAACATATCTACTCTATCCATTCAAGTTTCTGCCTCAGAAAATCCCCGGACTTCCTGATTCTGTCGATGTTTACGTCGACACGAGAACAAGAGAAGAAGAAGAAAAAGAAGAAGAAGTGAACGCACCGTCCTACTCGGACCTGATTTATTTGGTTGGCTAAATAATCTGTTACAAACTGTAAATATTTGAGATTATTATTTTCTTTAGACGACAGACTAAGCAAAGGTTGTCAAACTTTCGCCCCTGTTGAGCTCAACTTTTACTGTTTTCATGAACAATATTTCTTCCACAGGTGTAGTTCTGTTACAAAAACCTTCCACTGGGTGGCGCTGTTGAGTGTTTTTACGCAGCACACAGTAGATTGGCACAGTAGACCCAGTGACCTACAGTATAAAAAGAGGCTCTGAGTAGCCCTAAAGTCATTCATTAGACGTATTTAACGCATGTGACTTAGTACTTTTGAATTGAGTAATAGAAGAATAACCCTACATACTTACACAACCCGTATCACACGGGTTTTTCACTTTCATTAAGATTGCCTTCAAAGACTTAATAGCATTTACAGAACAAGCTCATTTGGCATATTAAAAAACTTAGGCCTATTGTTATCAGGGTATTGATATTGGTAGGTTATGCTGTCTCTCAGCATTCAGTAGTTTCTCTCTCATAAACCTTAGCAGAGATCTTAATCAGTCAGATTGAGTGAAAACACCTGCGTGATATATGCACGGTCTTCAAATAGAAGAAATGGCCTCATTGCAGTCCTGCCCTCAAAATCAGATACTTAAAAAGTAAAGAAAGTTTTTTATCTACATTTTTAGCAACAGTTTCAGTTTTGCCATGAGCATTTGAAATTGTCGCTGATCAAGGGGGATCTGATTTTCTACTTTCTGTAAGATCCCGTTTGCACCATATTACATTGTCATATCTGAATCTGTAGCCATATATGATTAAGTAAAAAATGACCATGTGTACCTCAAACTTTTATTTGATATAGCCTACTTAGTTGCTTTCAATCAATGGCCGAATGTCACTTCTTCACAGCTATGCTATTTGTCAACTAATACATTGAAACACCCCAAATGTGGTTCTAGAAGTTTAAATCTGTTGTACAATAAGAAGAACTCTTATTGGATAACAGCGGGGAAAGTGTGAACTAAAGGGCCAGGAACAAATTGTCCTCATAATTGTATACTGCAGAGCATGAGAAGAATGAGAATAACACCCCAGTAAACATCAAATAAATAGTGAAGTGGCATAACACATGCAGTGAAAATCTAACTTCCCTGTAATCACGATTTCCCACAACTCATTTGAGCACGGATGCTCCCTGAGGACGTTGTTGTCAAACTTGTTTTGTCATGTTCTGTAATGTAATGTGTACTTTGTAGATGAAAATATTAAGCAGTAGCCTACACTGTGTTAACTATAAAAAACAGGTTTACAACTTTCTGTCGCTTGCTTGAAGGTTTTTGTCTGCAATAATAATGATTTGAAATAGAGAGAAAGAAACAGGCTCCAGAAACTATGTGGCTGCTGTTGCATCCCAGCAATTTCTGGAGGGGAAGTGCAGCAGAAAGATGGCCTTTAAATGTCAGGTGTTATAAAGGTCAAACTGTAGGTGGGTCAGCCCCTTCTCTTAGCTCAAGAAACGGATACCTGTCCAAAATCACAGAAGCTGCCCTCTATGAGCTATGCCCTTTTTTTTTGTCTAGAAAAGCTAATTATGGTTCACATAAAAGAACAGAGAGCAGTCCCTAGAATAAAAGAGACAAAGAAAATAAGATGTTTATAGAAGTAATTTAATGTACCGGGTTTGTGATCATATCTGTACAGCTTCACATATTCTTCAGTCTATGGTCCAGTAATAAACCTGTTCTTACATAAACGCCAAAACAAATTGTCCCAGACCGGGTGTGGTTTTACACTGGGAAGCACTAGGGAGTTATTTCTGCTTTTCCATTCCTGCTAGCCAATCTTTCTGCCACACACGTTTTTCTCCTCTTATTTTGGATGTGCACTTAAGCATCAATGTATATAGATAGTCATAAAACCACTGTCTAAACTTTTTCTGCTTTCTGCCCACCCACCTTTCCCATTCATTGACTTCCACATCCCGTTTAATTGGGATCCTGAAGGGAAAACTATACATTAGTGGGATAATGTACAGTATCAAGTATTATATAGGAATAAATAAAGAGGGTAACATGGGTAAAAACAGGTGGCTGTGTGACTCATAAAGCAGTTAGCTTGGCTTGTCAAAAGACTCAAAGCGGGGGAAAGACCGACTCTGTCCAGAAAACCGCTCAACAGAAATCTCTTCTTTTTTAAAAATCTGTACACAAACAGAAATGCAAACTAACAGTGTGGTTTTACAGGAAGTGCTGATAGATAAAGGAGCAGAAAGTTACAGAGTGAACACTTAAGAGTTAATGAGGTAACTGGTTACATTTCAGGTTTGCTACTAAGAGTATATCAAAATATATTAGCCCACTCCTATGACCTCTGACTTTGAGGAAGGCACAAGAGATTAAGTCACTTCAATTTGGAAATCATTTGTGACAGTTTTATGCTTGCATAGTAGGCGGGCCTATAGCCTATATAATTTGCACACTTTAAGATACATTCACATGCTGCTCTGTAAAACATGGGTGTTTCCAGAAACAAACAAAAAATGCTTGTTGAGCGTAACATTGTTAAACTGGTCAGTTTAACATGCAACTGTAATCCCTCCAAGTTCTACAGCTGCCGCCTGGTATTTATATTTATGTTAGGTTTCTCTTACCCAACATGGTTCTGCAAATTCTTTATGTTACACCTTTAGAGGGAAAAGTTTCCACTCTGTACCATAGTAGTCCTTTTCCAGACATTGGATAATGCACGGAGCACACGCTCGTCCTCACCCTTCATCTGCCTGAGCTGGCACTGATTCAAACTGGCCCTTGTAACCTCAGTTAGATAAGGAGGCTGTGCTCTGCCATCTGTCCCGCTCAGCCTCTTGTTCTCACAGGTTATAATGAAAGGAAAGGCATGTCTTCCCTGATATCTTGCATTGTCCTTTGATGTGGATTGAAGAGGATGCTTTTTATCCTGGCAGCTATTTCAAAGAACCCCTCAATGTTCATCCTGAGAGGAATGCTGCTTCAGGCGTTGCTCAAGTTTGAGTCTTTCTTTTCTTCTTTTTCTGTGAGTGTTTCTCATTCTGGACTCTCTCGCTCAGACCAAACAAAGGATTTTTAGGGTTCAAGCATTCCAAGAGGCTCTCATCTCCTTTTTGAAATATTGAAGTCAAACAAACTCTAATCCATCCACACCCTGATAGGTGACAGATGGGAATTTCACCTGTGACTTTAAACACCGGCGAGGTTACAGAGTACAAACAACGATCTCAGCAGTTTGCAGCAGTCTAAACACCGCTTCATTTCAGATAGAAATTCAGTTTCTCAGAGAAATATGTAGCTTCACTTCAATATTTATGTCAGGACTTGTGGCGCACCAATGTTGAATTGCTTTGCAGCGCTGCTCTCACATGCAAAGGGCTGATGAAGAAATATCTCTGGTATCAAGTCTAAATGTGCCCCCTTTATGTAACATTACTTTGAGCTTTACATAACCACATTTACACAGTAGTCTAGAAGGAAGAATGTGACGTAAAAAAAACAGTGTTACAACAATAAATACCAAGAGCAAAGTTAATATATTTTAAATCAGGAAACCAAAATACCTTTAACAGAAGACGTTTTAATTACCCATGCAGAAACTGTTTTTAAACCACTTCAGAATTTTGTATGTTTAATGATTTATAATAAGTTAATAATAATTTAAAGGTCACAAATTATGACAAATTCATTTTACCTGGTTTTCTAACACTAGCATGTCTGCAAACCCCCAAATATCAGAATAGTCCATCCTCTCTTTTGCCTGCTCCACTTTTCAGAAAATGTGTGCTCAAACAGGCTGTTTGGAGATTTTCCCCTTATGACATCACAAAGGGCAGTAACCCCTCCCCCAGGTGAGTGGCACTCTCACAGCTGGCTGTTTGTTCTGCCCTCTGAATCTGCCTTCTCATTGTAAACAATAGAGCATCAAGCGATAAAGCCTAAGCCCTTCCAGAGGGGCGTGGTTGAACACAGCTCCCTTGCATTTAAAGCTACAGACACAGAAACAGCCTGTTCTGAGCAGGGCTGAAATAGAGGGGTTTATAGGCATGATTAAATACAGGAACAGAGTGGATTTTTGGCAATAACATTTCACAGACATGTTTCCGGGAGCTCTGAGACTTATTTAAACTTGTTAAAAAGGACGATAATATGTGACCTTTAATCAACTTGTTAAATTCATAGAAAACTATTTGTCTAGTTCCAGTTAATTACTATTAAACAGAAAGCCCTGAAAGAATGGAAGTAAGACAGACTGGGTGGTTCTTGGCTCAGAATGAGAGAGGAGGGAGGGGGGCTTCTAATGGGCTTATGGGAGGATGCGTGTAGAAGCATTCCTCTCATAGTTTTGGGACACCTCTTCAGCCTGCATACGTCAGATTTGCCTCGAGTGTATAAAAGGAGATGGGGACTCCAAAAAGAAAGAAGAGCAACTACCTGTGAACTCACTGCTAGATCTAAGGGTCTTTTATGCACCGGGAGAGATTACTACAACTTCTGAAGATGTGGAAAGTTTTTGTAGTCTTGATCCTGCACCTTTTACAAGTAAAAAAAAAAAACAAGTTCATTTATAGATTGCATGTTTGGCTATTGTTATTTTTTTAAAGTAAACTTGGCAGTAGAAATGTGTAACATCATGTTGTGTCTTAGGTGTCAGCCTCATGTCCAAAGGACTGCCGCTGTCCCTCTCACACCCCCAGATGTGCAGCAGGAGTCAGTCTCATGCTGGACGGCTGTGGATGCTGTGAAGTCTGTGCACGGCAGCTCTTTGAAGACTGCAGCAGGACTCAGCCGTGTGATCACACAAAGGGACTGGAGTGCAACTTCGGAGGAAAACACGGCTCTGCAAAGGGCATTTGTCGAGGTACAATAAAATCTGCATAAACGCATTCTATCTTTCCACTTTGTTGCCAAAATCCACCATTGCCAATGCTTTCTATTTTTTTTTTTTCCTGAAACAGCTAAATCAGATGGAAGAACATGCGACTACAACAATAGGATTTACCAGAACGGTGAAATCTTCCGTCCAAACTGCAAACACCAGTGCACTTGCATGGACGGTGCTGTTGGATGTGTCTCCCTCTGCTCACATGAGCTCGTGTTGCCCAAAGAGGGCTGTGCCGAGCCCAGACGGGTTAAAGTCCCGGGACGGTGCTGCGAACAACTCATCTGCCCTGAGGATGCAAAGACTGAGAGCTCTGTGGGAAGGAAACACGTGAAAAAGCACAGCAAAGACAGACTGTCTGAAGATGAGCTGACCAAACACAATGAGTTGGCTGCTGTGTGGAGAGGAGAATCAAAGTCTTTACCCGGTGAGTACACCTACACTTGGTTGTTTCAGATAAAACTATTCAAGTTTCCAAGAATAGCAGAAGTTTAAGTACATGTATGTCAAAGTAGAAAGGTAGAGATATCTGCATGAAATGATCTTGTTGTGTCAGCATTCTGCTTTGACCTGAACTCTTTTGAACCTCCTTTTTTCTCTTTGTAGCTTTCAGGGGTCATCCACTGCACCACATGTTGGTCAGAGGATTCAATTGTGTGTCTCAAACCACAGCTTGGTCACCCTGCTCCAAATCCTGTGGCACAGGACTGTCCACCCGAGTGACCAACAACAACCTCCAGTGTAAACTGGTTAAAGAGACACGGATCTGTGAAGTACGCCCATGCAACCAAATCACTTTTAAGACATTAAAGGTACATAACAAACTGAAATGTCCTCAGTGTTAACACCTGAAAAACCTTCTGTCTGTAATCTTACCATTATTATGTTAAGATATTAGGCATGAATTAGACGTTGTGTGTAATAGAGGGTTTCGGTGTCTTTTCTCTACAGAAAGGTCAGACATGTAACCACACTGAAAAGTCGAGACGTCCGACTAGATTGTTCTTTGCAGGCTGCCGTAGCCTGAAAAAATTCCGGCCGAAGTACTGTGGGTCCTGCTCAGATTGGCGATGCTGCATGCCCCACCGAACCCAGACATCGCCTGTAAGCTTCCGGTGCAAAAACGGAAAGATCATCAGCAGGATGATGATGATGATCGAGTCCTGCAAGTGTGACCTCAACTGCTCTGCCAACAACAGAGGAGCAGCCAACAAAATACTTTAAATGATATTCACAAACTGCAAATATTAAGGAGAAAAGAAGTCCTGAAGAGTGCAGACTGATAGAAACTGTGCACTTAGTTGGTGGCAGACGTCTGCAGGATTGATCTCCTGAAGTATTTAGTTCATAATTTTGCTTCATAGAATTGGAGCTTTGTGGTTTTCTTCTTATTGAAGCAGATTTTTTTTACTGTGAAAATCCTTATTTTTGTACTTTAAAACTTTAAAATACACTTTGGATACATTAAAGGTGCACTTTTGTCAGATCAATTTGAAAGTTGGAGAAGTGTACAGATTATGTGGTGACTGTCCTCAGAGGAAAATCTGGTCCCTGTAACACTTTTTGAAGATAAAATGCTATGTCATGGTGACTGAAGGTAACTCTCCTGGTAGCTTTTAAGCTCCAAACAGTGTTCCAGGGACCCATTTTTGTCTTAGAGTAAAGTTACTGTATTCAATTCAGAAAATATAGCATAGAATTGTTTCACTTCTCCAACTTTCAAATTTCACTAGTACCAAAACTCCATAGTGCACCTTTAATGTTTTCTCTGATTTTATTCCAAACTGTTACTTTACATATTTAAGCCTCTTTTGACAAGACATCATGGAAATGGCTATGGCAGCTTCCAAATCAGCCATTCCAAAATATTGCAAAGTTCCTGTTGATTTAATGTATACTCTTTAATTTTATTTATGGTTTAGGTTTCATATCCTATTTGTCTCTTCATGTATTAAAATAGTCATTCATGAGATACTGTACAATAGTACATGTTTGACTTGTTTTTTAAATGTTATAATATAACTGATGGCTGCAAAATAAACTTTACCTTCGGTTGTAACTTCCAAAACATCCAATCTATGCCTTTTTATTTTTTTTAAATAAAGTCATTTGACTATGGAGTTTTTCCAGGAGTTCCACATAAGAAGAAATGCTTTGGTTTAATGTTAGCAATAATGTGAACAAATTTCAGCTCTTATGGGGTCTGTTGTAACAGTTTTCAGGAGGAAATGAGATATATGGTTAGAACTGCATCTGGCTGACCCACTTCTGAGAGGACCTACATGTCACTGAATAGTTTAGGGACTGGGTGTAATGTAAACCTCGGAGGGGTTTTCCTGCTGTTGGACAGATGCCGGTTGCAAGTTACTGGGTAAGATATTCTAAACTCCCCATGGAGAAATGTTACATTGAGTATGGAAGACATTCTTTGCTCCTGACAATGCAGCACAGTGAGTGTTAGCTGAATACTATGTCAATAAAGTTTTTTTAAACAAATAATTGCATGAAGAATGCAAATTCATGTTACACTGCTGATTCTCATAAGTATGGCTTAGTCTGAATGCTATTATCACATGCATTTCAGATTTTGTTTTTTATATGTGCATCTGATTGTGGTAGCTGTCCTGCAAGAAAAACAATAAATACTTGTGTCATCCAACTTGATTAATAATTTGACCCTAAAACATTTGGATCTCCATCATGGTTGTGATTCATGACACTATCTAAGTTGACATGTAAGCTTTGTTCCCAGCAAACAGCAGAGACAACTCATTTCCCAAAGCTTGATCAGCAAAATTATGTAAACGTGCAAGAGCAAAGAGAGAGAACAAGAAAAAAAAAAAAGGAAAAACAAAGGGTACTGACGCACGCAGAGATGAAATGCTTCCATCCCCTGACAGAGAGCACAATAGAGCTTTGTGTCTGAGAATTTGAGAGAAGCCCGGCTCCCCCAAAGGGAGTCTGTTCACAATGACACCACATAAGAGTCTGGACGCAGGTCGGGACTCACAAGGGAAGTTTATTACCATAGATACAGAGAGGGACCACAAGAAACAACAGAGCAAAACAAAAAAAGTACAGCACAAGTTCAGCTTTTCAAGTCGTGCTGCAGCAGATACCTGCAGTCTTCACGTTCATTATAAAAGTACAAGAACAAACTAACAGCGGCGTCTAAAGTGGTTTGGAAATATCCCAGAGGTTCGTGTGTTTCAGTTATTATGTTTGCAGCCCTACAGGCATGAAGCTTCTCGTCTGACATCTGAGCAATTGATCTGCAGCATCTCAGTCCAGCTGGGATTCAGAACATAAACACATTAAATATAATCATCACACATTTTCTATTATCTATACAGACATGGACACGTTTGATTTCAGTAAAAATGAGATCATCTCATGATCATTTTTATTCCTAATTTCCCATCATCAGCGTCAATCACGGTAGAGGAATTATCATTATGTGATGGGAGTCAAGTCGCAGCATATTTCATTTTTAGGAGGGATGAATAAGTCATTTATCATACCAGTTAAAAGTAATATGGACATGTGCAACATATACCAGCACTCATTGTGTTGGATAACAATTGCGTTCATTACTCTCTGTATGTAAAGAATGGAGGGAAACACCTAGTCTGATTTGGAGCCTGATGCACACAGATCAGAATGCCCACCATGCATTGTGAGTCAAATGAGACACTCAACGAGGAACAAGATGGGTAACAAAATAGTTCCACCTAGTGGTACATTATTTTTCTCCAGCTGGAAGACAGAAATTTAATTTAATGGCTGTTACTTTGACCAAGAGCCCAGCAAAACATCTTCAGATGTCCTTTTTTCTAATCTGATAACAGACTTAAAAAACCCAACATTTTTTAATTTAAATGGATTAAAAAAAATGCAAATTGAAGCATCACAAGCACAAAATCACATTCACGCCTAAATCCATTTACTGTATCTATCTACAATGTTGATTTTCTTTTGAAGGCTCTTACAACAAGCGGACACTTGTACACAGTGTTTAAGGTGTTGTACAAATTATTCAAGTGAAACAAAGTAGGTCTTAAATTAAGACATTTTATGGCTTCTTTTAGTCACTCAGTAATGTTCCACAGATTGTCTTAGTCAGTGTCAGTCTTACCCAGAAGCCTCAGATTAGGTTTATACATTCACGACAGCACCAATTACTTCTTGTACATAAGGTTAAAAAAAACAGTCATCAAACCTCTCTAACTACAGTCAATTTTCCTGATACCTGGAAAATCAAAGTCCCACATTTCCAGCAAACTGTAGAAGTATCAAAAGACAGCCCAAAACTATCAAACTCACAATAGGTTCTCAAAAAATGATTTTCACCCACACACACACACATGAAATGAAAGACATCAATCTTTACTCACTTTAGAAAATACGACGATCCAAAAGTTGTCGTCTGCAGTCCCTCATCAAACATTGTGGTGTACGAGTTTTTCAGAAAATCCACATAGTTCTGAATGCTTTGTTTGTGGCTCTCTGATTGGTCAAGGCTGATCTGCAGGTCCTTCAGACGCACCTCAAACTGTTTCTCTGCCTGAAGATTAAGATGCAGAGAAAAAAAACGACAGTTTCGCTCGATATCAATATCTGAGCCATGACAAAACATTTGGCTTTCTCTGACAGAGACAAGCAGGACACTCACAGTGATCTTTTTCTGACGAAGAAGCCGCAGCTCGTTATCTCTTCGGCTCTTCTCGGCTTCCAGCTCCAGGATTCTAGTCTGAAGGGCCTCCTCTCTTGAAACAGCTCGGCCTTTGACCTTGTTGACCTGGACAAGTGGATAAATGAAACACATCATGTCCTGTGTGCAACATCGTTATCTGAAAACACTTCAAAGTATCAAAGACGTTGATGTTAAGGTGCTTTAATTGTTTATATCAAATAGTGAAAGGACAAATGTTTTTATGAAATGTCAAGATTTATCACTTTAACTCTGAAAAAACATTGGAATATGGGTGCAAGTAGCCTAACGGTTACTGAGTGCACCCCATGTACAGAGGCATATTCCTCCAAACAGGCGGTCTGGGTTCAAATCCGACCAGGGGCTCTTTTCCTGCATGTCATTGCCCACTATCTCTCCCTGATTTCTGACTCTATCCACTGTCCTATCGCTACAATAAAGGCACAAAACACCCCCAAAAACCCCATTAAAAAAACCATTGGAATATTTGCAATGTTATTTATTGATGTTGCTTCAAATTCTGAAAAATACAAAATGTAAAATTGGTTGTAGTGTTGTTAAGACAATGTGACCAAGTTGCATTCATCTTGATAGCCTGATGATGTAGACTGTAGCAATCAAAGCTTACCAAAAGATACAAAATGTGCGTCTCATTTGTCACCGAACTGTCTTTTAGCTGTACCTGCTGTTTGACGTCTGATAAAGCCGCCTCCAGCTGCCGGCTGAGGGCCTGACACTCCGACGAGCGCTGATCCAGCTGTCGGTTGCTGTAGCTGAGAGCTTCCTCCTGACCTGCAAGTCTCCGAACCAGCTCCAGGTTTTCCTGCTGCAGATTCTCCATCTGTCTACAATCACATGTTAAATTCATTCAAATACATTTATTCATCTGTACAAAAAATACAAACATGCTCACCAGAGCACAAACACAAGAGGACTTCTTACTTTTGGACAGAATTCACCCTCTCTTGTATTTGTAAATTGGCCTCACGGATGGAGTCCTTCATTTCCACAGAGGACGACAGCAGTTTAGTCTGACTCTCCATCTGAAGGAGTCAAAAGTAGAATTTCATAACTCCTGCATTCGTCTCAACTGAATGAAGAAAACAAGAAGCTTCATGATCACACAGAAAACGGTGCAGAATAAAAGATCATTCAATGCTATTTGCTATTCAATGCCACAATCTAGCCGACACAAAAAGGGGAAGTTTTCAAGGTAGCAGTTCATCAACATTCATAGAAAGATGTTGATGGATGAAAAGGACGCACACTGCACAACAATGACTGGGTCCATATGTTAGTATGGCTGTAAAGGAACTCATCCCACTGCAATCAGACAATCTCACTGCAGGACCAAAAACACAAGATGCGTCGACAGACACATGGGGTTGGTACTATCGCCTACATTTTTACATTCTCTGAGCTCAACGGCTCACTTTTCCACACCTTAACCTGCAGTTGCCTAACGGACTCTGACTGTTCTGAGCACTTCCTCTCTGAGCGCCGCAGGTTCTCCTGGCACTCGGAGAGACTCTGCTCAGCTGAGCTCAGTAACTCTGGTAACGATTTCAGCTCCTCCACACGCCTCTGCAGCTCCTGCCTCACCTGGGCACCAGAGGATGGCAGAAGGAGTTGGATATGGGAGAATAGAAAAAAAACATAAGCCATAACATGTGACACTCCTCTGAAAGTGACGCTCAAAGCTGGGTGTTATCCTTAAGGTGTGCAGAACGTGCCAAGATTGATCTTTAAAATGAGTCCCAGCAGTTGTTAGCTGAAGTGCTTTGCTCTAAAGAATTAACGTCAGAGGTTTTGTAGTTTGCAGAACCAGGTGAAAAAACTTTTTTAATGCTTCTCTTGCTTTTCGGCTACAAAAACAGTCGGAGTAGCCATTCAGCAGCAGGAGATAGAGGTGAACATACTGAGAAAACACAACAGTATTGTACAAGTGCAATAACAAAGAAATGAAGAGAAAGAACATCATTCAAATATAGTCAAATGTACATGATGGTATTCATTATGTTAGGGAAATCAATTATTTAATGAAAAAGGAACAGTCTTCATACAGAGGGGCAGGTGCTTACCTTCTCAACTTCTGACTCTTTCTCATCTCTTGTCGCCTCTGTCTCTCTTAAAATATTTGCATATTTCATCCTCAGATCCTCTAGCTCGAATTGAAGCTCTGCAGCCTGGAAATCAAAAACAGGGACGTAAAACCTTCTATGATTGAAACAGTTTGAGAAAAGCACAAAATTAGATTTTTGTTTATGGCAAAAAAAAGAGACAAAAACAATGATTTAAAGTTAACTTGTCACTACTATGCTTTGTATTTTCTCATAATATGACTCTAGCTTACTTCCCCACAGTGTTTTTTTTTCCACCTAATCGGAAAACAAACTCTAAAACATCGAATTTACTTATAAAATAATGGCAATAAATTTGCAATGTTAGGTTTTTAGGCCGTACAAAGTTAGCTTTCAATAAAAACTGGTGCGTTTAAAAATCTTGCTTCCTGTAAAATGTGTGTCCGACCTAATCTTCCCCTTCGAACTCTTAATAACAAATCACGAGAAAAAAAAAAGGTAAAAAGCTAAATGAGCAGATGTCAACCTGAAACTGGCACTTTTCAGTTTGATGTTTCCTCTCCTGGGACACGATCTTCTCTTCTATCAGGGCCGACTCAGAATCTGCCAGCTGCTGCTCCAACTCCGCCACTGACGCCTGGAAACACACAAACACCAAAACATGATCGAAAAAGAGAGAGAAAATGCTTGTTTCCAGCTTCCTCATAAATAAGATCTTCATTTTACTGTTTGTTCTTATTTAGTCTATTATTTGTATTGTGTTCATAAAGTCTACATTTGTATAGTTTCACTATGTATGTATTTCTTTAAGTCTAATGATTCTGTTTTAATCCTAAAAGCCTCAAAGCCAGGATACAAACTCAACCCCAGCTAGAAACCTGTACGCATGGCTTCTTCCCTGTTTTACATATGAAGCAATTTATTGCATGTGTCAGTGTTAAATAAACGGACAAAATAAAATAAAAGATGCGCATTTACATTAAGGCGAAACAGAATTGCCAAATGAGAAAGACTGACAGATGATAATCTCTTTGCAGGTAAGCAATAAGAGGTGTGAGTAATTAAAGGAAACATATTTACAACAGGGTTTTCAAGCTGTTTACAGTAATGATACATGCATGCAAGCTGTTCGGCAAGCTGTACCTTCAGTGTTGCATTATTGACGCTGAGCTCTCCATTTTCAGCGCTGAGTTTTTTAACTCGTTGCATCACAATTTCGTTGGCTGCGTTGAGCTCGTCCTTCTCTTTCTGCAGCCTCCCTGACACGTCTGCAATTTGGCTTTATTGATCACACACATTAAAAATTCATTAGTGAAAATTGATTTCCGCAATCAAAAGGGGGCGGTGTGTGGGAAAGAAGACAAAAAATTACCAACCTTTTCAGCATCTCTAAATGAGCTAAAAGTTGGTTGTTCTCATCTGTCATCTGCTCCTTTTGTTTACTCCTCGAGTCTCTTTCTGAGCGGGCGTTTGCCAGCTGAGCATCCTAAATGCCAAACAAGTTAAAAAGTTAAAGCATAATCTTTAACAGACACTTTGAACAGAACCACAAAAAAAAAATCAGACTTTATACCTTTTCCCTCAATTGTTCATAGCATTTCTCAATGGCGACCTCGAACCTCTCAGCTCTCAGTTTCTGTGCTCGCGTGGCTTTTTTGAGGGATAGTTTGTCTTGTGCTGCCTTTTCAGTCAAAGACGTGATGGACACTTTCAGATCGTCTACCTCCAACTTTTGCTCCGTTAAGTTCTCTCTAAAGTCTGGGGGGCAAAAAAAAACATTATTTTAAAAAGATACGTTTGATTATTGCGCTTTTACTTCATAGTATCTCAAAGATATCCATGTTGTTGACTTTAGTAGCACCTGTGGAGAGATAATCAATTATCATAGATTATTAGAGTTGTCTTTCCTCTACTGGCTCCCTGTCATTTTAAGATTTTACTGATCACTCTTAAAGCTTGTTTTATTGGGTGCTGCATGGATTACATCTTTGAAATGCTGATCGCTGATGAGTCATCTCACAACCTGACATCCTCAGGTTGTTCTCTCCTGGTCATTCCAAAGTTGAGACTCAAATCTAAATGTGACCGTGCTTTTGCCACTTTGGAACGGCCTGCCTGAGGAGAGAATTTGAAACTTCTTTTAAATCACTTCATAAAACTCACTTTTATAGACTTATTTTTTATGTGATCTCACTTGTTAAATGTCATTTTCTTTTCTCTCTTTTTTTTTTTTATCCTTTAACTAATCTAAATACATTTTGACATTCCTTGTCCGTATTCTGATGCCCTCTGATTACGGACCTTTACGGCTTCGTTTACTTATTTATCAATCTTTTGTTCTTCATGTGTTTTTATTTCCTGTGTGTGAGATTTTATTCTTTAATTATATTTCTTTATTATTTTAACTGCCTTTTGAGACCTGCTTGTTGTATCAATTTCATTCCTTCATTTGCATTTATTCTTGTTGATCTTTTGCGTTTGCATTTCGTTCTGGCCTTTTTGTCTGAATTGTTTAGACTACTCTCTGTGTAGCCCGACTCTGAATGTTTATCATGCTCTTTTCATGAGTTCCCGCGCTTGCTTCGCCTGTCATGCACTTTGTAAACCTCTGTTTTTAAAGGTGCAATTTTAAAGTTATTATAATTATTATGAACAGAAGAGACTGGTTTTAAATCAGCAGACATGAGTAAAAACAGTATGCCTCAACACACACACTGCCATGAAATGACATCCAAGTGAATGTAAATTCTTTAGATCAGTTTACAGAGTGGTGGCGGATAGTGGCGTTTTTTTTTTTTACCCGTAGCTGCACAGTCAGGCGATTGTTTTCCGCCTCCTTGTTGCGTAGCTGCCCCTGCAGGTGAGCACGAGTTGCCTCCAAAGACTTGCTGATGTGGACGGTACCTTTAATGTTCTCCTGCAAAGATAATGATAGTGAGGTGCTTTCCAATGAGGTTTTCAAGGTCTATCAGAAACTGTAAATGAAAACGTCTTCTGTGCCTACCTGCTCTTCTCTCCGCTCAGCCATCAGGTCCTCAACTCTCCTCTCCGTCTCGCTCAAGTCTCTTTTTAAACGCTTAAGGACAAAAATGACAGCAATCAATACATGATATGAGACTATAATTTAGAATTATATTTATAAAGTACAAAACATGAATTCTCACAGAGTAGATGTTTGTATGTAATATAATTCAGATCATAATAATTAAGAACATAACGTGGCTTTGTCGGATCACTCAGTCTTTGCATTAGCTTTACCAGTATCCAGTCAATAGAATTGACCCAGATTAACCCTTTCAGTCTCCACAATTCATATCTACCAATTTAAGCAAAAAGCTTAAATATCTTACACGTAATTACGTAATTAAACATTCACCTCATTTTCACTCTCGGCCTGTGAGAGCTTCTTCAATAAAATGTAAATTCGGTGGTCTGCATCAATTCGTTGAGCCTGTATGCAAAGACACAAGTTATAAAATACACGGGAGTGGGAAAAAAAATCCACCTTTGGATAAGGTGTTTGTTATGATCATATAATGGCCACAATAATTCTACTGCTAGTTGTGACAGACCTATGGCTAGTTATCCTGAGCATACATGTATACAAGGCAAATATATTCTAACCAACCTCTGTATCTTGGAGCTGTTTCAGTTTCTGTCGGACAGACTTATTTATTCTTCTGAAGTCCTCCAACTTCTCCAGCAAAAGTCCTCTCTGCCTTGTAATTCTGCGTTTGTCTGTGGCACACTGCCTTGAATCCTTAATAAAGAGAAAAACAAAGTAAGAATAGTGTGACATGAATTAAATTTAGAATAATTCTTAATAGGGGTACATTTCTTTGGTGTTTTACGATTGTTTTTTTTTTTTTTGTTAACCTTATTTGGTGTTTGCAAAGTAAGTAAACAAAAGAAAAAACATACAGTGAATCCATCCTCCATGGCATCTTTAAAAGACACGAGCTGTATGGCAGCAGAGTTTGCAGCTGCTTCTGCATCTGTCAATATTTTCAGGAAATTCCTTTTTCCATCCACAGCAAAGTTTCCACAGCTAAATGACAAGCAGGAAGGAAATGGTTGAAATAAATTAGGCTTGGCTGCAGTGAGGATATCTATATCCTCTCATATTAGGCAGTATGATCAAATGTTTATGCATTATAGGACCTCACCAATTGATGTCAGCCTCTGGGGTTCTTGTTTGGAGACTGCTGCGGGCTCTGTTTCTTCTCCATGGCTCCTGAGAGGTAGCGAGATCAGCACAGCTGAGAATAACATCCTCCCTGGTAGAGCTGAAACCAAGAGGGGGACTCTGGAGTTCATCCTCTGGAGACATAGGCTGCTATTCCTACTGACAAAACAAAGTACAATCTTAATAAATGACAACATACAGTTTGAGGGGAGGGAGTTAGTTAACACTAGATGTTTTAAATTACCTTAGTATCCTCGTATTCTCAACTATTAAATTAAAAAAGCAAATTTGACATGCAAGCTACCTGAGCTTACTCCATGGCAACTGGCAGTCCACAATATCAGGATAAGTGGCTGCTAAGCTTTACGTTGTATGACAGACAGAGAGCATGTTGTTAATTCTACGAGACAAAAAATCATTGACCTTAAACTATGAATGTTCGAGCTTAAAAATTGCACTCCGTAAACAAGTAATACAACTGAAAACACAAAATATTACTTACAAAAAAAAAGAGTCAGTTACGAACAACGCTACTCCAAACTGAAGAGCCTCCTCCTGTTTGGCCAATCGGATTGGTTAGCTCTGAGGCAACGTGATGACGCAGGACTATTTTTCTCTCTACTGATTCGTTCCGAGATGAAAAAGTAGGCGGGACGATATTTGATTAAACCAGAGAAGAACCAATGAACAGGAGGAAGCTAATAGTGTTGTTGATACCATAGAAACAAAACGGAAGTGTACTGCTAAGGTATCCGTAGCTCTTCTCAATAAAGCAAGTTAATAAGATTGTAAGCATTTTGTGCACAGACGATTGCGCGAAACCAAAAAGCCTAGAATAGCATTGTTAAGTAATATAGTTAGTTGTCATATAATTGTTTTGGTTGCGTGCCTTGTAGGCGAGCTGGTTCTTCTGCAGAGTGGAAATGTTCAAAGCAAAAATCCTGTTTGTTGGTCCAAATGAGGTAAGTCGAAGCAAAGATGAACATGCATAACCTTTGTTGTAGATGGATAACAACTAAAAGTGGCAGCTGAGCAGCTTTTAGCGTCTTAGGAGATAAAAAAATAGTAATTATTCCTGCAACGTTATTGTTACTTTACGTTATTTGACCCATACGTAAGCTTACGTTTCTCTATGTGTGTCTATCGTGGCTATACGTTGTTCAGCAATCTGGCAATAACTTTAACCTCAAAAAAGTAATAGATTATATTTTTCACAGCGTACATACTGACTGGTCAATGATAGGACAGCATAGATGATAAAACTCATTATATGATGGTTCAGTTACTTCTAATTCTACTAGAAAGCCAAAAACAATAAAGATCAGCCCCATGTCACTGTACTCCACTAAAAGAAGAAAAAGTTTTAAGTACCTTCAACAGAATAATGCTGGCCTACAAAGGCAAAAGACCTGAACTGAGATAAATGACTTTAAAGTCTTTTTGTTGTCCAGCCAAATGAGTGGCAGGCACAATATTGGAAATGTGGCAATTCTTTGTCTTTTTAATCAGGTTATTAATGTTCATCAAAATATTTAGCTCAAACATGACCTTTGACCCTTATTTGGAAGTTAAGGTACTCTGCCTTTGCGTTGCCTGTACAATAATAACGGGGTCATGCCAAGGCAAAAGGCATAAACTTCCATTTGATACTGTATTTCACTTGGTTGCATGGTTAAAATAACACAACCAACACTATTTATTTGCTACACTTTAGTCAAGCAACTGTGTGTGTCAGAAGTGCTCGATGACAGATATTAAAACAAAGGCATAACACTTAACTCCACTGCAGTAAAAAGTAACTTCACTTTGATCCACAGCAAAACAAAGACCCTGATGAGTGAAGTTACTGGACTCTGCCTTGGTTTCTTGAGGGCTTTTGGAAGTTAAGGCAAATACAACCTACTATTTTCTCAAAAAAACAACACAATTGACTCAAGATATCTTTCCACATAATAAAGCACATCTGTAATGTTCCAAAAATGACCAAAACTCATTTTTGAAAAAATTGAAGTTACTGCCTTTTGCCTCTGCAGGGCAGAATAATGCAGGGTGAGCGTGGAGAAGTGGTGTGGTACTTCTAAATCTGCCCTGATTCACACTATTGATTGATTGACAGTATTTGGTAGGATGCGGCAACTTCAAGTATGGTGAAGGGATGACCCTCCCTACTCGGTCCCTACTTGGCTAGTACACACTAACTCAATATGCAAGAGGAGTCTTATGTCACTGTTATTAACAGCTCTCTGCTGGACGGGACACTTGGGGAAAAATTGAGAGTATGCCCACTTCTTCAGGCACCTCTACACCACTGGCGAGGACCCTATATTAATAAGGCTTCACCAACCAGAGCCCTAACATGTAGAGAGAGTTCACCCTTCAAATGTTATTGGAAACAAATATGTGTTACTTTCTATGACAAAAGAGGCCTTTTCAAAAAATTAACTGATGTGACTAAGATCATGATTTTCTTTTTTTTCAGAGTGGGAAAACAGTTCTTGCTAATTTTCTCTCCGACACCACAGAGTTTGTCGGAGGTGAATACAGTCCTACCCAAGGAGTAAGGTATAACAAAACCTGTGTCCCAATTCACTTTGTCTTCAGTATTGCACTGAAACTTTTCTCATTGAGTAAAGTCCCAGATAAGATGGAAATACATTAAACAAAATATTTGGAAACTCATTTTAAATTTAGAGTCAAATCAAGTGAATAAGTAAACAGCTCTCAATGTCCACTGATTTATTTTTTTAAGGATACTCGAATTTGAATCACAATGTGAAAACATCAGAGACAACAGGGTTTACGAGGTGGAGCTTTGGGATTGTTCCGGAAATTTCAAGTAAGATAAATTACTTTTTTTTAAACAGAGGTTGAGCTCTTACCCTGTTGATTATTTTGACAGTAGGAAAATAATTGTCTGTACATAATTGACTTTCTTTTAAGACTCTTGTCCAAAGATACAGATATATGGTATATATTCTCTTTATAGATTTGAGTCCTGCTGGCCAGCACTGATGAAGGATGCCAGCGGTGTTGTGATCATTTTTAATCCAGATGTTTCCACTCACCTAGATGAATTAGAGTCGTGGCATTCGATGTTCATTTACACTCAAGGTTTGCAAGCTGAACAGTGTCTACTCATCGCTCACCACAAGCCTGGCAGCGAAGTGAACGACAAACGGCTGTCTTTAGGTATTTGTACTGCAGGCCTCACAAAGCTGTTGCATGAGTTGTTTATATTTTATATTAACAGCCTAACATGTTTATTGTTTCTGATGCAGGCTCAAAATTGAGCGGGCTGCCGCTTATTCACTGGAACCTGGAGGATGAACCACAGCACGTGAAGCCAGCTTTCCACAGATACTTGGAAAATGTTTTAAAAACAATGTCGGAAAGTCGAGAACGAGAGGAGATGTCTATCATTACATAACAGCAAAATCTACAACACATGCCGCTCAATGAAGAAAAACTCTCACCATTGGCAGTCTCTTTGTAAATGTGATACTCGTAAACAATTCCCATTTTTTAATTATTGATAAGTCCTTGCAGTCATACAACGGTCAATGTTATCTTCATCAAACCTTTGCAAACCTTCCTTTCCTACAATAAGCCAGGTATTTTCTACAAGACCCTAAAGTAGTCTTCATTTGTTGCACTTTTGTATTTTTTCCATTGCATCTCTGTTTTAAATAAAAGATTTACTCAAGCTGGAAATAAATACTCAAGGGACAATATATATATTCTTCTGACTATAGACATCGGTTTATTTTGAAATTTAAGTGCAGGTTGTTGAGAATGTGACATTTTGAAGTGCAGAGGGAAAGAGACAAGTACAACTTTCAGACATCATATCCGATAATGCCTCCTTTGCCGATACACTCTCCAATGTAGAACCACATCAGTACTTCGGTGGCCACAAGTCCATTCCTCAAAGCATCCTACAAAAAGGACAAACAACGTTTCAAGTTTAGCTCAGGAGAATGGCTTTTGTAATAGACTCATCAATTAGAACATGTTAACAGTCACAGACTACACACACACACACACACTCTCCATACCTTTATGTTTCCAGGACAGCTTCATGCAACACAGTACATCTGATGTGTACAAAGTCTGTTATTGTTAATATATTTTAAATCCTCCCCAACAACCCCTGATTTCTGTGAGTCATTTTCAATTGAATTAATTGAGATGGCACAAAATCACTTTGGTTATACGTGCTGCTAGAAAAAACTATTTTGAACAAGTAACGTCTTTTGTATATGCAGGTCAACTTGATTTTAACCATGTACTGTTGCACAAAATAACCACAGAATTCTATAAACCAACATCATGTACATAATAATAATAATTTATACTTTATTGATCCCGTGAGGGGAAATTCGTTTTTACACTGTCTAGTAAACATGCGACACACACATGCACAAACAGGATCCTATGGACATGCACTAATGGAGAGGTCTCAGAGTGAGGGGGCTGCCCACAGCGGGCGCTCCTGAGCTGGGGGGGGGGGGGGTAGGTGCCTTACTCAAGGGCACCTCGGCAGTGCTCAGGAAGTGGACTGGCACCTCTCCAGCTACCAGGCAAATTTCCGGACTTGGTCCGTGCTGGGACTCGAACCGGCGACCCTCCGATTCCCTACCCAACCCATACATAGTATGTGTGTGTGCAGCACATTTTAAACATGCATTTTAGCTCTGCTATCTGAAATGTTATATTTGAAGTCAATAAAATATGACATGTTAACGTAAATTTAGGACTAGATTATGTATTTTTCCAAATTGTGTAGGACCACTTTTTTATGAATTGGAACTAAAAATGTAACTACATTCAAACTGTTGACTTTTCACCAGAGGCTTCACAAACACAACAGCGTCTCTAACTCAAAGTTGTTAGGACTCACCCTTATTGTTGTTTGTCTCAAGCGTCCTGCCTGATAGCTTTTGATGAGGCCCTTCGCGGCCTCTATAGCCTTTGGGATTTCAGCAGGTGAAGGTGGGACGAGCTCCACGCGGGCATAGTGCCAGAAGGTCGTCAGTCGGGGTTTGGAGTATGTGACAGCGGCTGCAAGAGAGACAAACAAACTTAGTGTTATATACGAACAGCTGTAGCTGAGTAGCATAGTTAAACGCTAATGTGCCAGTCTACTTCTCCAAAGACAAAATGCACTTCGAAAAAGACCAAAATATTGCTAGTCTATTTTGTAAACAACACCTGCAGGCTACGTAGTTTGAAGTATTGACACCTGAGCTTGGTTAACCGTACTAGAGGTCACACTAAACATGTGCAGAAATATGAAACAACTTGGCCTGCCTAGATAGCGTTGTATACTTTAGTCATCTAAGTTTTCAATTGTTTAAAACACGATATCGAGTGAACTTACAACCCACTAAAGTAGGAACTTTAGCGACGAGTTTCTGAACAGCTTGAGCCATGATGCAAAGCGTCCTGCGGATCCTGCGGAGCAGAATACCAAAGAAAAGGGAAGAAGATAAACTGTCGTGACTGTATTTCCGGGTCGTTGATTTCAAATTAATAAGCGTCAAGTGACATTTATAAGTCGCCTACAGTTGTGCTCTTCAAAATAAAAGGTAGTAGAAGTGTAGAAGAGTAAGTGAAGACATAATCAAATTCAGTTCGTGTCCTATAAGATAAACCAAGAGGTTGATGTTTCTTCAATGAAATCTTTAAATTAAGCCATTCAGCAGTTGAAAGACAAACTGGACTATCATTATTTTATTAAAGAAAAATAGCCTAACAGTAAAACAGTCTTCAGTTAAACTGCAGCACAAAAGTTTATAGAAGAATTAAACTATAACTAAGATTCTTAATCAGGTTTATCAGCCTACAAACATCTAAAAAAACAGTTTGACCAAATCGTTTTTTATCTGCATTTGTGCACGGTCTAAAAAGGAGGAAAAGAAAGGATTTAAAGGTGTTCGTCATGACATGGATGACTATATCATTACTCACTCTCCTCTGAGTCACCCTGCAGCCTGTGTTAAAAGCTGATGCAGTACTGAATAAAGTACAAATGCAGGACATAGGGCTTACAATAATTTCACAGGCAAAATGTATCTAGGTTGTCTGTTTGATTTAAAGTTACAAAGATTCTTCTACATTATACTTTTATTTTGAGACTTTTTCAGCAAAACCTACTACAAGGATATCTCAAAATCTAACACCTTCCCCATATAGCTGTGATTGTGAAAAAGTGGTTTGAAAAGATCTCCAAAGATGATCTCAGCCCATGTTCCTCTACCCTGCAGAGCACAAAGCACAAACAGGACTAAGAGGAGGTTTCATGCAGTGGTGGACGTGTGTAATTAGATTTTCAAAGGATTAATCACTAGAGGGTGCTCTCCAATAAGTTTCTGTACCATGTAGAGCTACAGCGCAGGAAACTTTGTTTGATAAAATCTAATGGTTAAACAATGATTTTACATGCTCACTGCTGTTATATGTTTGTTTTGCCAAAATCTTCTGGAGAATACATTTTCAGTTTGTTTGATTTATGTGGTATTCTTTAATCATACCTGTGTCTGTACTATCTAAGATAATGATGTTTTGATGTGCAATGTAAATCACATCAATTTAATTTGAATTGTTGAGTAAATAGAAAATGTCTCACAGTGGAGTCCTTCATCTCCGAAGGTCATACAGGCTTAATGCTCCTAACCCATTTTGCACCCAAACACAGCAAGTGCTCTGATAACTTTATTTTGAGTTTGACTCAATTTGCCAAGGTTTCCAAAAGTACCAAAAATGTCATTCTGAATGATGTGCAAATGTCAACAAAAGAGGCATCAAAGGGCATTAGGAATTTTCCATTTCAAGTAGCCATGAAAATGTCTCCTTGGATTTCAGTCAGGCCGAGTGTGACAGCTGTTCAAAGCACCCGCTTCACGATCAGAAACAAAATACAATCATTAGATACTGTCATAATCAAAATATGTGAAACTAACTGTGAGGCTGGTGAGTTGTCACATTATGTGACATACTGATAATGATAATCTATGATTTGCTGCAAGAGACAAGACAAATCAATCATTACCATAATAATATATTTTTTTCCGTCAATATTAAGTTAGAAGACAGTTAGCTTACCTTAGAATTGAGACTTGAAGCAAGAACTTTACAGCATTTGTTTTTATGATGTAGCCTAATGAAGATCCCACTTGCTTGTCAGACGCAATCGCACAAGTACAGACTTCTGATGTCCAGATTCTGGACATGCAATATACTGTATATTTCAGCCAATTGTTTCACACTGTTTCACGGCTTACATGTATTAATGCCCCTATAAATGTAGCAATGCACCACCTGTGAAGAAACATACTGCGACCAAGAGGTAAAAAAATTAAGAATTGTACATTTTCACAGAGTAAGAAAATGATTTCTATGTTAAACCTCAGAGAAACAAAATGTGTGTGCTGAGAATAATTGGACAACTTAAGTTTGTTTACCAGAAAACTCCACCTAGACAGAAAGAGGTATCGATCACTACATCTCACTTTTGGCAAGAAAGCAAATCAGCATGATTCCCCAAATGTTCATCGATTTCTTTTGGCTGAGAACAGAATATATTTGTAGTTTTAGCCATCACAATTAATCAGTAACCTCCTTAAAATAACTGAAGGGGAATTAACTCAATTTCTTTAGTGACAAAATATGATATTTTTTTGGAAGCGTGAAAGTCAAAAGCTCTGTGCCCTTCACATTTCTTTGTGTCCCTCCAGCACACTGTTCATTTTATAATGATGTATTAGTTCCACAGAGTGAGGAAGACAGACTGTGTGAGTTAGAAGAAGACTGACAATATAGAAAAGAACATAGACAGACAGGAAGACATAAACAGAGCGCTTCAACAAAGGAGTAAATCCTTCCTTTTCATGCATGGTTTTAATATGCAGATGAGATTAAAACAAATGACAATACCTCAGCTTTGGCAATCAGCACAGACTCACATTTGTTGATAGAGCAGTAATCTGTTTTAGAACTTCAGGGTATGCAGACTGATAAGGACTTCCTCCAGCTTGTTGTGTAGATTTGTGGGGAAGTGTCCAGCTGTTTCCAAGACGGAGGCCATAAAGTCATTTGATTTAATTCTACATAAAAACCACCTCAGCATGAGACGCCACACAGAGTTGTTTCATTGCTGCCTTCTTTCTAATTCTCCGCTTTATCCTTATCAGTCTTTCCTCTCTTTGGCTCTATTCAGGTCTTTCAAACACATATCTAGGCGGTTTCTATATAATCCATCAGAAACTGCCTGCATGCAAATTACAAATTTAATTTATCGCCATCCCGCTGTGATTAGATTGTGTTCCCTGCTTTGTAAATGTTATCTGTTGGAATCTGTTCCCATACAACTGGTAAAGAAAGTTGTTGTGTGTATTTGTATCGTGGACACTGCCATGAAACTTACAATGAGGAAAAGTTGAAAACATTGCTTGATGAGAGCGAAAACACAGGACCTTATCTTAAGTAAGCTTTGTTTAGCCAATACCTGTTCAAATTATTTTTTGAATAAAAACGGTCACATGCTCAAGTGGAGAAATCTGTACACATAAATAGCTAGCTACTTCTTTCATGTGCTGTGTGTTTCGCAAATGTTAGCTACAGCTGGCAGTTAGCTGCTAACTAGCTTGAGTTGTTTGCTGTTGTTTCCGTAGCACTGTAAAATACATTTTCACACATATTTTCTTTATAGTATCATTTGTGTGGTGGATTTCTTTGGATTTGGAGTGTTTTCAGGTGTCTTGCCCTTTGTAAGCATTTCATTTGTTAGTTCACAGCTTACAGAATAGATTGTGCTTGTGTTGCACATTTAGTAACTTTTTACTGTTATCAGGCCATTTTTGCCTTTAGAGAAACAGGTGAAGAGAGACAGGAAACATTCGGAGGAGAGAGAGGGAGAGAGGGGGGTCTGACATGCAGCACAGGGCCGGAATTATTCAAGCCCACGGCTGCTGCGACGAGGACTAACCCATATGGGGCGTGCGACATAACCGCTATCTATCTGACGCTCCACATTTAGCAACTTTAATTCCAATCGCTTACCTGAAATGAGTTCATCTTGTTTTATGTTGTAATCCTCGTCGTTCTGGTCTCTAGTTAGATTCCCAATCAGCAATCAATCTTTTATCTGTTTTTGCTTTTAATATGTTTTGAAGAAACTGAATGCCACTGTCTTTCTACTCACTTTAAAACAGCGAGCTTTGAGGGATATCAATGTTCTTAAATGCGCAGGTCCTGAATATGCAGAATGTCTCCCACTGAGCTGCAAATGACCTCAGTAACACATTTGTGATACTGTCAAGTCAAGTCAAGTCATATTTATTTATAAAGCACATTTAAAAACAGCTACAGCTGACCAAAGTGCTGTACAATACATTAAAAAAGAAAAAACAACTTCAGATCACAACGTCCACAAGAGAGTAATATATATATGTATACATATATACATATATAAAGAAAGAATATATAAAGAAAGCAACAAAATAAAGAAAGCAACAAAGGAACCTGAAAGAAACGATCTATTCAGGACCAGGGGACTCAAATGCTAAAATATAAAAGTATGTCTTGAGACGGGACTTAAAAGAGTCAACAGAGGGTGCAGACCTGATTGAATGAGGGAGGCTGTTCCACAGTTTAGGGGCTTTTACTGAAAAGGCCCTATCTCCCTTTAGCTTGAGCCATGTGCGGGGAACAGCCAGGAGGCCCATGTCTGATGATCTTATGCGCATAGATGAGGTGTACGGCCTGAGGAGGTCGGTAATATAAACGGGGGCCAGGCCATTCAGGGCTTTAAAAACAAACAACACAATCTTAAAATCGATTCTGAATCTTATTGGGAGCCAATGAAGGGACGCTAGGACAGGACTGATATGCTCCCTCTTCTTGGTTCCAGTCAGCAGCTTTGCTGCAGCATTTTGGACCAGCTGCAGATAGGACAGGGACGACTGGCTTATCCCGGTATATAAAGAATTGCAGTAGTCAAGCCGGGATGAAATGAGTGCATGGATTACTGTCTGTAAGTCACTGAATGAGAGGATAGGTTTTAGCTTGGAAATTGTACGGAGCTGAAAGAAACTGATTTGACAACTGAATTTACCTGCCGATCAAATGTAAAGCCTGAGTCGAAGATAAAGCCAAGGTTCCTGGCGTGGGGCCTAATGTGGCTGTATAAGTGACCTAAGCTGTTGGAGACCTGTTTGATGATGTCGGGGGGGGGGGGGGGGGGGGGCTCATTTAATTGTAGGAAGTTATGGGCCATCCAGTGTTTTATGTCTTCAAGGTAATGTGTAACTGTGTGATGATGATGCCAAAAGCACCAGCAGATATCAGCCAGACATTTCTAAAATCTAAACTCAAATCTAGCTTGCCAGTGATATCAGAGGTAACACAGAGACAACAATTATTTCTTGTTAAATCGTGTTGAGGGCATTTTAGGGAAGATTTTGGCAGTTATATCTCTGTGGATGTTTAAATGTG